ATAAAAACTCTTAACAGGTTTTACCAAACAGGTCCTAATTTCTCCTTCTCTCCTCGTGATACATAAGAAAAGAATAAATGTAAAAGACACGGATGATAAAGGAAAGTGTCAAAGTCAAGCAATGGGTGATTTGTTGGTGTCCGTGCGATCTTACTACCACCCACGTAACACCGTACGAAAGCTAAGCTGACTTTTAAAGTCAACGGTTTTTGTTTTGGCTTTATCGGTCGGATTATATTGCCACGTCATACAAGTTGATGTGACGTGGATCCTATACGTCCCCCCAACCAGAACGTGTCAATATATATCTCTCACACGTTTCCTATTTTATACTAAGTGTAAATTATAATAAATTGGTTCATTTTGAAAGTAATTAAATTTTGAGAAATAATTTTTGTATAATTTAATATATTATTAAAATAATTAATTCTTTTAATTTATGTAAAATCTGTGATATTAAATGTATTAACTCATTTAATGATACGTAAAAATTATATAAAAAAATAAAATAAAAAAATTATTCCTATTACACTATCCTTCAATATTTTATATATATCTCTCTCATACATTCCTATCTTACACGTTTCAACTATTTGATAATTTTAATGAAAAGATTTTAGTTTTTTTTTTTAAGTTAGATTTTAAATTTTAGTTCTGTAATTAGAAAAATAGAGGTTAAGAGAATATTTTTATAATTAAATTTTTTTAATGCAAAAGTGAAAGTAATTTTTTTATTAACATTTTTTTATATATATCAAATAATGAACTATATAATATAAGATAAAATAGTTTTTTCTTTCCTCTTCTAATCTTCTTTACCTTAATTTCTCTTTGATTGACTTCATATTCAAATTTGAGAAATCAAACTATTTGAGTTGAGACACGTTTGAATTGATTTTGAGATATATAGTACTTAATAAACAATCTTATTTTTTAGGTCATCTTATTTTTTTTTATTAATTCTCATATCTAAAAATTATATTAAATTAGATAAATGTAAAGTTAAATCATATCAACTTTATAAAAAAAATTATTTTTAATTAAAAAAAATTAAATTCTTTTTAATCGAATCAATAATTTATTGATCTTAAGTCATCTCATTTGTATACTTATAACTCCATGCCCCATTACCTATTTTCAATATATATATATATATATAAAACTCCAAGCCAAAATTTTTTATTTTTAATTAACGGCTCCTAATTAGATCATTTGCAAAAGTGAAAGAGGATTTTACTCCCTTATAAAAATATATTTCTCATACCAACTAGCTTTCATTCGTTGCTTAATGTCGGAAATTCAAATTAAAATATTTAAGATATTATTATTATTAATTTAGTGGGAACCACGAGTCCAAGGAATTTTTTATTGTTTTTGTAAAATTAATTTAATTAAAAATCTGCCATAGATTTCGATTTGTCACTTTCATATCTTAATTTATTAATACAAATTGCAAATTAAAATACTATATATTCTGATTTTGGAGAGTGATGATGGTTGGTACCCACCCAAATGCCTATTTACATCCAAGTATTAGGTAAAGTGATGAACCTAGAGTCACCTAAATAATTTTAAAATAAGCATGTTAGCTCAAAAAAGAGAAAAAAAACAAAACAAAACCATAGGTTGCCAATAACTTTTATCCAAATGGCATATAATATTTCTTTTGATAAAGAAAAGGGGTTTGTTTATCAGGTGGACTCATGATAAAAAGTAATGATTAGACAATAATAATAATATTTTTTCCTTAAAAATATGAAATTTTTAATTAAAAATTAATTTTTGTTTTATAATTTAAAGTAAACCAATAAAAAGTTAAACACAT